GTCGCAGACGCTGCCTTTGGTTGTCGTACAGTCCTGTTAAAATTCTCCTGGTTCAAACACAATGACACAGATCAGGACAAAGAGAAGCAGCAGCTGCATTACAAACACGCATCATTAACTGCAGTATAATTAAGACTTCTTCATGTTGTATTTTTAGCATGAGAGGAAATGCAGCACTGCTCCTCTGATCTCTGACTTTAGTGTATTTTCATGTTCAATCGTATTCCAAGCACAACTTTGTATGACATGAAAAACAAACAAGTAATTTCAGATGTGGAAACACGAAAAGTTCAACTAGTAAAATATGGCTTGTGAGGACGTGTGATTGTTTTAAAGGCCCATTACCATGATTCCTTTAAGTTCCTGAATAGCAGAATTAGAGGGCAGCTTCTCCGCCTGATAAAAGGAAAATAGGAGGAAAAAGATGGGTTTGGTAAATAAGCAGCAGTCTGACACATTATACTTATTTTTCCTCATTCAGCACTTAGAGGCTAAACTGCACCTCTTACCACAAAGACGAGACACTGTAGGCAAGCACAAGGAAGTATGCTTTCTACAAGAAGCAAATATGTCAACACACAATCATTTTGAGTCACGTCAATTTTCCCATCCTCATTATTTATAATTACCTTGTAGCGCAGGTCCTAATGCTATCTAATTTGGCTGAGCTGCTGAGGCGGAGGAACAAGCAGACTAAAAGATGTCTCTGCCATGTGTCATGTTTTATCAAAACAACAAGCTCTTAGATAATTCCCACACTGATGGGTTGGAGAGCCCTGAACAATATATGCTCAATGTACAAAAAACTCAGCGAGGGCTGAGCACAGCAGACGTCTGCAGCCGGCGTGCAGTTTGGCAATTTCAGCAAAGATGAGCCACATTCACACGTGTCCGTCATCCTACCAGCTGCATGTCCACCGCGCTCCCCTTTCATGCGTCCATGTCCTGTATATTCTGTCTTTAGCCACTCGTTCATTTGTCCAAATAAAAAGTTGACCAGCTGTCAGTGAGGTCACCTTTGTGTGTCAGCTGCTGACATTATGACCTCACACACATTAACCTCAACATGGCTCCATCACGAAACAGTATCATCAAGTCTCCGTAGGTCCGTTTTTCTATGTAACAGACCTGAGTGTCAACTCCACATTAAGGCTACGTCCACACGTACACGGGTATTTTTGAAAAC